TATATATATATTTTTTATTATTATTGATTTTCCAAGTACAAAATGCTAAAAAGTAATCCTCCAAACTCGCTTTCTTTCTTTTAATTTTTTTTTTTCGTTTTTGTTTTTCAACTCTTCGCCTATTCTCAATTCTCACTCTTAACTCAGCTCGCATTAGAAATAATATTTATTATGTATAATACATTACATAGAAAAAAAGGGAAGATCTCAGCTCCCTCCCTGTATGCGTGTATGATTAATGTGTCGGTAATGCTTTCATTTTAATTTTAGTCTATTTTTCATCCTTTGCCTGTATGTATAATATTATGTAATGTATGAGTATTTATATATATTTATACATACCTGTCAACTCTCACACCGTTAATTTCTTCTCTTTCTGTATCTTTATCATTAGTTTTTTCATTTATATTGTAATTTTTATTAAATTTTACAACTATTAAGTATACCGCCGTTTCGCGAGCGAGACGAGCGAAGCCTCGGCTTATGCATTTGCCCTTCAGAGAAATCAGTAGCCTCGTTCGCCTCACACGCTTCATCCAAATCTTTGTTTAAATCTTTATGCGTTTATTTATTTATTTATTAATTTATTTATAATCCACTTTTAGTTTACTTTTAGCTTTTCATAGTTTAAATCATTTAATTTACCATAAATTGTTTATTATTTAATTATTAATTTACTTAGTGTTGAATTGTTCGCTCGCTCCATTAGCATTATATACTCACGACAGGTTGACTAGTTTACAACTCTTTTGGCGCTCACTCGTCCAAGTTTCAACTTCTCTTTTTCAAACTCTCGTTTGTCGAGAACCATGTAAGGGTGTGTGTGTGTGTATAGACGATTCGTACAACATGTAGCGCTTCGTACTATTAATAACCATCGATCGGCAATTAATATAATACTTACGCGAACGCGTATTTCATGTATGTATGTACAACAACAACAACGACGACGACGGCAACAACAACAGCAGCGTAATGGACACGGCAGTAATGGTATTGGTTGATGATGCCGATGAGTGTAGTACAACAACATGGGCTCCTTGAAAAGTGCATGGATGATTGCGTTGTTGGCTCACTTGCCCCGGTATATCTCGATGATGCGGTCCTGGTCGACGTACTCGAAGATGTGGGGCGCGTCCATCAGGATACCGATAGTGCCGAGCGTCGTCACGAGGAAGAATATGTAGAGCTGCAGCCGATCTATCACCATAGCCACGTACTTCCAGTCCTCGCGAGTCTATGATTTATGCCGCAGAGGAAAAAAAAAAAAACAAACGATGTGGATGATTTAAATGGAGGAAACGTTGAATGAAAACGAGCTTTGAAATATCTCTCGCTCGCACGTGAATTTAAATAGTTGGCATGTCGTTAATTATACGATAAAACATCAAGTGCTCATTGCACAAGTATTTTTTTTTTCACAAATCGTCTGGATTGATAAAATTCAATTGATAGCAACAATTTACGGCTCGTTAAGTGCCATTACTTTTCAAGTTATTAGGATAACGATAATGAGTTTCCAGCATACAATATAGGTATATAAGCTGTTTTGCGGTTGCGACCATTAGCGTATTCATGTATACTACTTATATACGATCAAAATGACACTTTGTTCCTAAGTATAGTAGCACCTATATAATACTTGTAATTTGTGATGCGTCAAACCACGTATAAATAGGTACGTATTGTTACGATTGTTGGCGGGGGAAAAAAAAATCTCACCTGAATGTAGAGGTCCTCGTTGCGCAGGTGTTCGGCGATGAACTCGACGGCCTCGGTGGCCTTAGCCGCCTCAGGACTGAGCAGGACCGAGTCCGAGCTCTCGGAGCCTCGTCTGTCGGCGAGGGCGTCGCTACCCGGGCCGGCGGCGCTCGAACCCCCCGTGTGATGGCTCTTGCGGTTTATCTTGCAATTCGGGTGGTGCAGGTCCGACAGCTCCATCATCTCCATCTTTGGTTTGCCGAGGGACGTGGGCAGGTGCTTCGGCAGCTCGGTCGGGCTGCCCGAGTACGTCGAGGTCGGCAGTGTCGCGTTCGGGATCTCCATCATCCAGCGCAGCCGGGTCTTCTTCGGTCGGCGCATCAGCAGCAGGGCCGGAAGGATTTTCAAGAAAATCCTGCGCTCGTAGGAATTTTTTTTTTTTTTTTCACTTATCTACTTGTACTCTTCGCGACATTTTTGATTCGAGATATATTTTGGGATTTTTGTTAAGTGTAGAAATAGTTTTTCCATGGGCGTTTGAAAAAAAAAGAAAGAAAAAACTTAGTCGCGATCAGTTGTGGAATATTTTTCGAAAACGTTTATATCCGTACACGTGCATTTGTCAATTTAAAAGAAACGGAAGAGCACTCGAGCGGAAAGAATTGGAAATCAGCGTCTATACAGCACAGTATCGGTACAACAAGAAACTACGGTATTAAACTCGAGAGATATACATATGGAGAGTACGTGGAAGTCAGCTGCTGAATTAAAATTGATTTGTCTGCTATCCGAGGATTCGCGCGCAAGACCAATGATGAAAAAAAAAAAAAGGGTGAAAGAAACGTATAGTGATAAATGAGTAAAAGTCAAGACCTTCGAGTCATTTGGGGCATCCGGTGAGTGCGGGGTCCTCGGAAGTTCCAATTGATGATGATGACCGTCACCAAAATACTGACGGTATTCATGATGAAGGTGAAGAGGAGATACTTGGCGATGAGCGGCAGCACGAGCGATGTAGGCGGCAATATTTTACTTACGAGCAACAGGAACACAACCAGTGACAGGAGAATACTGATTCCTGCGTGACAAATACATCATATATATATTTTTTTTACGTTTATTAATAAAATATTTTTCTTTCCATCTCATCCATAACATCTATATACCAGCGATAAATACACCATCTCGTCCAAGGATGGCGTGTAATCGATTTTCAATCAAAATACAATTACCCAGAAAATATCGGAACTTGCGCATAACTTTATTAAAAGAAAAAAGGGGGGGAGGGCTTAAAGCAATCAACAGGTAATAAACCGCGTTAATGGAGATAATATCGACCTACCAAGAGTGACTTTCTCGCCAGCCTCGGCCGGCAGGTAGAACACGAGGACGCAGAGAAAGGAGATGAGCACAGTCGGTAGGATCAAGTTGACGGTGTAGAAGAGCGTCTTGCGTCTGATGATTATGTAAAACGTGATGTCCGTCTCTGTGGGCACTTCCTCGTAAACGTTCAGGAAAGCCGGGACGTTGATGATGTCCCAGGTGCCGCTCTTCCAATAATCCGACAGGTCGACAAAGTTCTTGTCGTTGTAGAGGGCCAAGGAGACCTGGTCGCCGTTGAACGTCCACGAGCCAAACTTCATGATGCAGGTCTGCTGGTCGAACGGGAAGTAGGTGACGTCTATCGTGCAGCTGCTCTGGTAGATAGCCGGTGGTACCCACAACACTTCCCCGTTCGGGTAGATCAGGACGTTGCTCTTGTAACGCACCTCGTAGTTGCCGTCGGCGCTGATTTGAAAAGAAACCAACGTATATTGACGCAAAGAAATTTATTTGTTCGATTATTCCGTAGTCATATAGCACGTTTCGATCAATTTACGCTCATTCTCATCGAGTGAAAGTTATTTGCTTTTATAAAAAAAAAGGGGCGTGTTCCACAGTTTGCAAACTTATAGAGGCTAGATTTTTTGAAAGTTACACGAAAAACTTACTTATTGAACAGCACGACGTCGGGCTTCCAGACTTTGTCGGGCGGCAACCGCAGGACCGAGATCCCTCCGTAATCTGCCTCGTCCCACTGCAGCTGGTAGTCCGTCCAGACGAAGCGCAGCCAAACGTTGGACTTCATAATCTGGTTCTTTTCGTTCTGCAGCGCGTTTCGTTAACAATGTAAAATCACGACATCATTTTTCGAAGCAAAAGAAGATAAAAAGTATGAAATCTGTAAAAAAAAAACCCCGAAACGAACGCTGCGAGGGATGTTTTGTGAAAAAAAAAAAAAAAAACAAACACGCAGAATCGCGAGCTGAACGAATAAAGTGACCTGTAGACACACGCGCACACATAAATATACACGAGTGGCATACACGCCCAGAGCGAGATGCTGAGTCCACGTCCGAATAAACAAAAAAAGGGAGTGGACGTATACACAACAACGCGAATAAGGAGTAAGAAAAAGAGAGAGGGAGGGTGCAAGAAAAGGGTGTGGGGGAGGATGTGTGGGTGTCTGCAACACACATATACACGTAAAAGCGAGGGGGATGAAATGTATCTCGGCGGACTATAAATCAGCAGGGGGTAGTCGCTACAACACCATAGCTATATGCATATTGTGTATTTTTCAGTAACAATACATTTTTTAGATTTTTCGACAATAGTAGGAAAAGAGAGTATATTTATACCTAGTGCAGTAGACGCGTTTGTAGTGTGCGACGCGAAGTTGAGAATAAGAATAAATAGGGAGGGAGGAAGGAAAAAAAAAAAAAAAAAAAACAACTCACCACGTTGATAAGCTGGACGAAGGCGAGGCCGAACTTGACGTTGACTGTGTCGGTCATGTTTTGCACCGGCCTGATGAGCTTGTTGTAACCGCGGAACAGGTCGCGCACCAGCCTCTCCTCATCCTCGGAACATCGACCTATGCGTTTATACATTTTATGATTTATTATATTATACACCAAAACTTACATTAACGTGTACATTTCTGTCGAACAATCAACCTCGAGAGGTCCATACGCATATAGCCGAACAACAACACTCATCTGCACCCTCATCCCCCCTAGCCCCCTATGTCCGTACGAGGAATGGCAAATTTTGCCAAAAGAATGAATAAAATAGACGAGGCAAACTCGTATATAAAATATATATGTACACTTACCCACGTAGAATATCACCGAGACGAAGAGGAAGCGCACGAGCTTGTTCGCGAAATTCATCCTCGTCGGAGATGGTGGTGTACGAGGAGCGAGAGGATGAGGATGGGAGAGGATCAGTCAGCTGCCGTATCCTGCCAGAATTTCGCCTCTCGGTTATCTCCGATGGGGAACAACCATTCACCAAGCGCTGCAGAACACTGCGAAAACCAACCCGATGGATGTTGTGGGTGTGTGTGTGTGTATATAGGAGTCGCGGGGCGTGTTTCGGGGGCTCTCCTGCGTACGCCACCGCCCGCGCCGCTCTGTCACCGCGGCGATGATCTCTGGCCGTGCGCGGATGTATATATACATATACACCTATTTGTACTACGTGTATGTACGTGTATACAAGCACGCGGTGAGAGAATCGGTGGCGGCAAAACAGTACCGTGCACTGCCTCTCGGAGAATAAGGGAGAGAAAGCCACCCCTAAATCAATATATCCGCGCGCGCAAGACCAACTCTACTCCCACGAGTAAAAGTACCCCTCCCCGCCCTTCGCCGCCCTTGACGCGTACAACACTGTTATCACTGTGCATGTAATAGCTGCGAGAGGGGTCAACAATGTGTGCGAAGAGGGTGGCGGATTCCTTACTTGCCGATCCTGCTGGGCTGCGCCGACTTTTTTATACTCGCGCGCTGGTCGCCGAGTGTGCATGGCCGCGAGGGGTGTGGGGTGCAGATTTTCGCCGAGACGCGCCCTTTTTGCGACGACACGCGCGCGCGCGCGCGAGACCTTCGCGTTTTTGCGACCGACCGCGGATTCCTGGCGTGTATGAGTGGAATATACGAACCACCGCCCGCGTTAATGCATATATATATATATATATATATATATGTATATGTGCATCACGTTTGCACTTGCGAGGAGGAAAAATATATGAGGTTCCATCGAGTGTGAAAAACACCTGTACGGTATGGGAAAAGTATAAGAAGCATGACAGGTGATTATTTAAGATTAACTTAATTGCAACAGCTTCGTTTTTCATTCGATGCCAAAAATACTTCGAGTGCCTCTAGCTCTGTTGTGCAATTTTCTCCCTGTGTGGTTCACCGTTGCATTATTCATTACCATACCTTATACGGATGGAACAACACACATGTAAATTATACACAAGTGATAGATAAATTGAGGAATAGTGGAAAGGCGGAGGCGAAACACCGACAGTCACCAAGAATAGAGAGACGAAATTCCTAAACTAAAATACTTTGATCCACTAGACCTTCGTTTTCATTACTGCTGGTATTGTTCCTCTCGGGAGCGATTAGGCGCGGAGATGGTTATATAATACGCTCCAAGGCCTTGGAAGCGCAATTGACCGAATCTCTTTCTCTCGGGCAGACTCCCGCCCGCCACTCGTTTATAGCGCTTTCGAGAGTGATGTAGTTCAATCAAGCTTTTACTTATTCTCCTGCACGTTCCTGCACGTACTGTGATCTCTCTCGTTGGTTTTTGCTATATTGCCTTTCAATTGCTCTGGTCGAGAGTCATTCGTTTGTAAGTATTTTTGACACCCTGAAACATTCATTGGCAAAATGTTGTAATCGGCTGAATTGAAAAATGTAAAACAACTCTGCAACATTATGTTACGTGATTAAGTGCATTTTATTTGTACAAAAGTAGTGGGAGAGAAAAAGTCCGCAAAAGTTCATTCGTACAGATCCTTACGTAAACTAAAATTGTATAATGGAACGCGTATATATTCACACACACACGCTCGTATAACAACGAAACGCGCATTTCTCATCACAGCGTCATCATTCATCATTTCGTGCATTCTCTAAGTATCTCCCCTTGCGCTCGTTAAAATACACGTCATAGCTTGTATATATAATATCAATTGATATGAGTATATGTAATAGTATACATCAGTACGTGGTAGAGAGACATTTTTTATAAAAACTCGTGTCTTCTTAAGTTTAAAAATAATAATAATTATAATAATAAAAATAATTAATGATATTAAAGTAATAAAAAACTATTATATACAATGTAGTAAGAGTAATGTTTTGCCATTCAGTCTTATGAAATATACACTTGATTGGTATTTATGTACACGATGAGATTGTTAAAATAATAACGGTAAATAGATCCTTCTTCCGATGCAGTACATAATAACAGATATATATGGCAACAGACGCGCCTTTTATCAGATTCAATGATCGTAGAGCAGATGCTGTTCCACCTTTGGTCCCTTTATAAAACGTGTTGTCTTCACATATTATACTTCATTAGGATACTCCAACACACTAGTTCACTCGAGCAAACTACGTGATGCGATTGTAAAAAAATAAAGAATAAAAAAGGTACTTAAAAATACTTGGCAAATGCAGTAAAACCATCGTTCCGTGCGACACTTGTACCTTATTCCGTTTTCGTTCCTCCGTTTAAGTAAATCACACACTTTGCTCGTTGCATCGATGCAATTGTCAATAAAAAACAGAATCAACAGCTCTCTCGATTCTTCAGATCAATACTACTTATAAAAGAGCGCACTGTAAATGCACAATGAAATCATCAAAGTAAGGGAACTACTTAAGATAAAAAGTCAGATCGATCAAAACAATTAGTCGAGTCACACGGTCGTACACTGGGCATTTTTGATACCGCCGTTGAGACTCCTGTTGATGCCGTTGAGCGCCTGTAGGATGTTCTGCTGCTGTTGTTTCTCGTCAGCGAAGGTAACCTTTACGTCACCGTTTTTCTTGGCATCCGGCTCGAGCAGCCGGTCGATGTTTCCGTTGGTCTTGCTGCTGATCACCTGCATCGGCTCCTCCGCGGGGCTCGAGTGATGGGGCATCGCGTACCTGAGCTTCTGCCAGAACCACGGGTCGCCCCACTTGACGTAAGTATTCATTTGCAGGTAAGCCCGGAGCTCGGGGTCCAACTGCTCGGTGGGCCCGATCTCGCCGAGGACGACGACGATTACTCGGGCGCGCTTCTCCTTGAGGGCCTGCTTGTGCGCCGCTTGGAACTCGAACCTGCTCCAGTCGCTCTCGATGAAATTGCGCGAGAGCACGACTATCGTGCGCCGGGACTCCTCGACGCTGCGCTCGATTTGGGTGGGTATCCACTCGCCGGCCAGCCAGTCGCGGATGTGAATGCACAGTTTGTACGGCCTGGGCCCCTCCTCGAGCCGCGCCACTAGCTCCTTCACGACAAACTCCTCGTCCTTGTGCGAGTAACTGATGAACGCGTCGTAGGTCTTGTCCTTGTCGATCTCCTCCTCGGCGACTAGGCACAGACAGAGGTTCTTCGAGTACAGCCAGATTTTGATCTGCCTCTGGAAGCGGAAGTAGAGGGCAGCGGCGCAGCCGAGCAGCAGAGCGAAGGTGCTCGTTAGGGCGCAAATCACGATTATCGCCCGGTTCGAAGCCGGGCAGAGCTCGGTCAGTGTTAGGTTAGACAGGGGCACCCGACTGCCCGAGCAGGTTATGTTTAGGAGCTCGGGCATGTCCAGGAAGTTCGAGTGGACAAAGTTGAGGAGGTCCCGTGCCTCGCAGCTGCAGCGCCACGGGTTGTCGTGCAGGGTCAGCTTCGTGATCTTTGACGAGTTGGACAGCCGCTCGAGGATCTTTGAGTCTATGGACGTTAGGTTGTTGGCCTCGAGTATCAGCGTCTGGTAATTGTGCATTGCAAAGAATAAATACGTTGTTGTATCGAGTGTGTAACATTTAAGTACTTGAGGTATTTTTATCATCATTTGTAAAAGAGCGCGTCGTCATGCAGGGTAATTTATTTATCATTAACGATTTAGACGAAGAATTATGATCCATGTGGGGGTTATATTGGAGAGAATCAAGTGACGTGTAATTATATTTATGTGTAGGTTGATTTTATTGTACGGTTGACGGGAGATAAGTAAAGAAATGATTACTACAACGAGTTAAAGTAGGTTTGTGGCCAATTGATGTTGCATGGTACTTAAAACACGAGTGTGCTGTGCCGTCCAAAATTTAATCTTTCAATCGAATCAAAATCATGATTCATCGTCTTACTCGAGAGCAATTGCTCGCGAGTCTCGTGATGATTATTAAAGCATTTTCAACGAAAAACTTTATACATAAAAAAAAAAAAAAAAAAAAAAAAAAAAAAAAAAAAAAAAATTACCTTTAGATTGGGCGATAGAAGCTCCTCGTCGATAAAGGAGATGCGATTGTGGGCGAGATTCAGGCTCGTGACCTTGTCGTAGCCCTTCTTGTACATGGAGGGTGGCTCCTCGAGGTTGTTCATCCTGAGATCGAGCTCGACCTTGGCGACGTCCCGGGTGTCTATCCACTCGGGCGCACGAGTGAGATTCCTCGCCACGCAGTCGAGAAGAAGAGCTTGGTCCTCGGGGCGCAGCCAGCAGGTGCAGGCGTCGTTTGTCGGGGAACATGGATCACCGGGTCTCGCTTGCGTGTTCTCCACCATGCATTTCAGGGTTTTTGCCCTCAGTTCAAACACCTGGTAAGGAACAAGTTGTTGTTTAAATTTTTTTCACGCCTATTAGTACATACTATGGCATGAAAATTTGTTTTTGACCAAGCAGAATATATAGAATTTTTAGTCAAAATTAAAAATGAGCTTTTAAGAAATATTTTCTTTCACAGGATCCGTAATAAAACTTGTCTTGGATTAATTTAGCTTCTAGTTTTTTTGTACGTGCACAAAGATACCAGGATCTCGGTAATCGATGCTATATCATTTGATCATCATCAAAATTAAACGAAAAAATTCTCGATAACGCAAATAAACGCAAGAGTCACTCAACGAGCTAACATAAAGAAATGTGATTCCAAAAAAAAATCACCTGAGCACCGCGCATATACTCGGGACTGTGGCACACGAGATCCCCGGGCTTGAGGTGCACGTAGTTCTGGACGTAAGGATGCATGTCGCCGTTGAGATAACGCACGAGATCGTAGACCTCGCAGTTGCAGCGAATCGGATTGTCGGCGATGTCGACTATGACGTTCCGTGGTTCGGTCTGGTTCGAGGAGAGCAGCTCTAGCCCCGCGAGCACGACCCGAGATATGTTGTTGTGCCGAAGATCGACGTTGACGCTGTTCGAGGTGAACTGCAGGTCCTCGGTTTGCAGGTAATTGAACGAGTTGTATCTGAGGTCGAGCACGCGGAGCCGCGTGTTGCTCACTATCCAGTCGCTGTGCATGTCCGTGACGTTGTTGTGCGCGAGGTAAAGCTCCTCGAGGGAATGGCAGTGGTGGAAGGGCGAAACATGGCCAAATATGTCGTACAGGCCCGTGCGCAGGGTCAGCCGGTTGTTAGCGAACTTGGCCACCCGCAGATTACCCAAAGAGCTGAACGCGTCTATGTGGATGCTCGTCAGCTCGTTGTTCTCCAGATTGAGCGTGCGCAGCGACTCCAGGCCTATCAGCGTGTGCCTAGTATTTTCACACCAAACACATTAACACTATCTCATGAGAAATGAAAAAAGAAAACACACACACGCACAACTTACTTGTTGATGGCCATAAGTCGATTTTTGGACAGGTCGAGCTTGACGAGCTTCGTCGTGAACTCAAAGACGTCTTCGGGCAACTCCCTGAGATCGTTGAACGACAAGCTGAGGCTGTAGAGCTCGTGCGCATCTCGGAAGATCCCGCGGGGAAGAGTGGTCAGGTAGTTGCGGTCGATGGTGAGGTTGCGCAGACCATTGGAGCCCCAGAATAGGTCCTCAGGGAGCTTGAGTAGTCCGTTGCGCGTCATCATGACCGATTTGAGGGACGTCAGATTGGCAAACAGACCAGCTGGTAGCTCGGTCAGGTTTTGCTTGTTGTACAGGAGCTTGACCAGCCGGAGTTTATGGTTCGACCGGAAGAGGCCGCGCGGCAGTGAGCTCAAGTTGTTCGAGCTAAGATTCACCACCTCGAGGCTCTCGAGGTCCTAGTTCAAGTGAGCAAAAGGTTATTTTGTTTTAATTTTTTCTGTATTTATTTCAAAGAGCGAAATTACCACCATTGTAATGCCACGTTTTAATGAAAGTGACGGTAAATAATGGTTTTTCAGTGAAAAGTATAAACATATGAAGGACACACTGGACCATATGTATGCGAACCTTGAACACATCGGTGGGCAGAGTCTCGAGGGTGTTCTGGCTGAGGTCCAGGGAGACGAGGGTGGTGAGGTTCCGAAAGACGTCGGATTCAATTTTCCGAAGCTCGTTCTTCCAGAGGTTCAGAAGGACAATTTTTCGGAGTCCGTCAAAGGTGCCGGTTTGCAATTGTCGCAGCTGGTTGCTGCCGAGCTCGAGCGTCGTAAGGTTCGTCGCGGCGTCGAAGAAGCCAACCGGCAGCCGGACGTTAGCGTTGCGCAGCTCGAGGAGCTGCAGCGAGCCCAGATCTGTAATTTCGTCCCGACTGTTATTACTTCGCTGCTGCAGATGGTTCTTTCCGCGATGAGTACGTAAATGTATAGTTGTGCGAGCGCGGTCGCGGGAGTGTGTTTCCGGTCACGAGTGATTTCCGCGTTCGGATCGTACGGGGAGATACTGATGTCGCACGCAGGTACGGTACTATTATTATTGTTGTTTACTGTTTTTTTTGCCACTACACGTGCAAAGACGCTTACGTCTATTATAATCACGTTGTTGATCATAAAAAACGAGATTCGCGCTTTTCTTGTATGTATGTATGAAGTTGCGTGTGATTACATACCTTTCAGAAGATCGGCGCTGACGTTGCTCAAGTCGTTGTTGGAGAGCACGAGGTTCTGAAGATCCGGATACGCGGCCAGGTCTTCTCTGCTGAGGGTCCCGTTGAGAATGACAAACTTGAGACTTTGGACACCAGTGACGCCGAGGAGCCGTGCCACGCGGTTAGCGTGTTCCGGTCCCGGTGGCGAGCACGACGTAAACACGAGGACTCGCATGGGGCCGACCTCGATGGATGAGCCAAGCATAAAGTCCGACCAGTCGGGCGCGTCGTTGCACTCGACGACCAGTCGCTCGTGACGCTGGACCGTCAGGTCGAAGCCCTGGCTGGAGGAGTTACCCGCCGAGCAGTGGACCCGGTACTCGCCCGCCGATTCCTCGAAGCAGTAGCACTGCCGGTCGTCCGGACAGTCGAAGCCTCGAGCCTTGCCGATGACGATCGTCATCACGAGGAGGGCCCAGATGAGCGCCATCGTTTTCTTTTGTGCGAGGCTCTCTACAGCGAGAAGGGGGACGATCAATTGACGGCAGGGGATTAGATCGATTTTTCCCTTCCCCTCTACGTATATTCTCCCTTTTCTACGGGAGGTCCCCTTTGTCGAGGCACTCGCTGCGCTCTTTTTCGGCAGCTTTTGTCAGCGGATGTATACGAGTATACATACGTTGCGAGCGCGCGCGCATGTGTGTGTGTTTTTTGGGGTGGTTTGAGCGGCCCCTTTTGTCGAAACGAGACGAGGTGCCATTGTTTGTTCGATTTTTCTCGCTCCTCAAGTTTTATTTGGGCCTAAGTATCGGCTCGTCGTATACATACACAACGATAAATCTTGGGGAAAGAAGAAGAAGGAGGAAAAAGTTCACGTATTCGAATGCAATTTGTATCGGGGGACTCTTTTGTGCTGCGTTCGGTATTTCAACATCGCGGTGAATCGAAGGTGATTCTCGAGTGTTGCCATTTTTAACGCTTCCAAAGTTATAGATGCCGGTTAGCCGAGAGCTCGATTCGCCACGAGCCATTGATCATCGGAATTATTATTTCCCGGAACAACGTAACAGCTTTAAAAAACACGTTGTTTGATAAACAACAGAACGAAATAAGTATACATGTACATCTCGCGTCTCTAATAGAGCCGGTTTCACAATGTCAAGGCCTCTCACGGCGCGATCGAACAATCGTGTTCATAAATCCCGGGACCCCCGTCGGCTTTGTTTCTTTTTCACGCTAATGTATATCCCTGCCGCGCGTTATGGACACCGCGATTGCTCGGTCGAAAGAAACGCGAGTGCAACGACACCGTTTCGTTTCACCCTCGTAACGATCGCGCAAACTGGCACTATACCTATCGGCGATTCCCAAGAATAGAGGAGGACAGTATATACATACGGTGCGAGTGTTACGCGAGTTTGACGTATATGGACAATACAAGTGCCGGTGAAAGTTCCGGGTGCCATATATACTATATATACTTGAATTCGCGCTGTTTACCACCGCGGCCGTCATATCACGAGCTTCCTACATGTATTATGAGCCGGGCAGATTTTGCGTGTTTTTAAAAAGTGAGCATAGTGTGCGTGATGATAAACACGGGAGCCGTGCCGAATGGTTTTATCGCCGATACTAGCAATACATAGACACAATCTGCCATAGGTGTTCGCGGCTCTGCCGAGAAGCTGCGTTGATCCGCCGCCTCCTCTTTTATCACTCTATAGAGTGTTGTGCAAACTTGTTGCCGAGTGCGCTTTATGTAACTATACTTATGTACAAACATATCGGTGCACATGCACAATAAGCGCGTGTACATAAGTAGGTACTTGTATGGGTGTAGAAAAAAAAAATTAATCGGAAAATCCTAAGCGCTGCTCGCTCGTGGCGGTGCAAAAGTTTCGCAAGGAAATTTGCTCGCGAGCACTTAATTATAAATATACGCTCGATAGCCTCTGGATGTAAAAATATATGTAGGTGCACGGTCACGCGAACGGAGAACACACGTGCTCTTTAACGACAGAGACATTTGCTTTGTTTATTCGAAATTTCTTTTTTTTTTTATCGTCTGGATTAAAGTATTGTGCTTTGGAGGAGCCCTTCGCATTATTGAACTTCAGCACCCCGCAATCCATTACCCGGTAAAGTAATTATACCAGCTAACTCACGCGCAGTAAAAAATTGCTTTCTATCGTTTTAGGACGCAAAAAAAAACTGGCTACGGATAAAAAAAAAAAAACAAGCTGATCCTGCTCTTTCTCGCCGATAAACCGGTGTGAGAGAGGAAAAATAATAATAATAGGAAAAAAAAAGGCACGGGATAAACGCGCCTGCAAAAGACAGAGGAGAAATAGCGCGCGTGCGAGCGAGCAAACAAGCGCGCGTCGTTCGAATACTAATTGAATGGAATTACAAAAGACGAGAAACAGCGAAAGGGGGGGGAGAGGGTTACAATACACTTCTCTCTCTAGCTCGCGCTTCGCGAATCGCGAAAAAGAAAAAGGCAACAACGCACGCGCGCGTGCTTGCCTTCGTTTGACACATTATTATAATGTAAAAGGTGGGTGTGCGATGTACGCGTGGGTGCTTATAGTGTATGAATAATGAGTATACTTGTGCATAAGAGATGATGATTGTTGTTGTATCACGCGATCCCAGTTGCAGGTTGTCGCAGATGGCAATCAGATGCAGTTGACGGTGATGAAAGTGTAGATCGGAGCCGTCGTCACTGGCCGACTATGGGCTCGGCCCGCTCGTTCACCTTGACCAGCGGGCGTGCAAATATTTTTTTGATGATGTTTCGAATGAAACAAAAAAACACTACGAAAATCGGTAACTCAGAATGTGTTCTCACAGGCGCGCCCGCCACTCTCGTCACCGTTTCCGCCTCATATCGTTGTACTTTTTGCAAAATTAACAAAAGATCGGCACTCGTTTTAACGATCGTGAGAGATAAATTGGTTTGAGGAATCGGGGAAGGAGGAAGGGGGCACGGTGAGCGTCGATCGAGCGCCTCCGAGATCCGCCGAGCGACTGACTGTCGGCCAAATGCGACGCTCGCATCACGCTCTCCACGGAGACCGGTAGTGAGTTACGAGGGAGAGAGAGAGAGGAGGCCTGTTTGACGTCACGTTATTGCGGCAGCGAAGCTCTCTCTCTCTCTCTATCCGCGATTCGGTTCGACCGATCGTCGTCGTCCTCGGTCCCTCACAACGTAACTATATCCTACGCATAAAAGCTGCATGGAGATCGTGTCGGCGCGATGTGCCATATACTCTTCGCTATCTTATACTCTGCGCCGGCTTGGAATCTGCGGCCTGTGCCATAGTCGTGCATATTATATGGTGCCATGCGCTCGTGAGAGGGAGAAGAGAGAGATAATTTATGTAATGCTGCTTGTTCGTGGACAGCAGATGTATATATAGTATGTATACGTATATACGCGCATGTCCCATGATGCAGGTTCGCTGTAGGGCTCTGTCGGTGTCGTTAGAGAGATAGAGATGATTTTTATTTTCGTACATCTATCCCCGATGGTCTCTCTCCCTCGAGTTGATTGTACGTAGGTACGAGAGATGGATGATTGCATGTACGGTTGTTCGGTTGAAGAGGGTCCGATGGATGTTGCGCCGCGACTTTAAGATAAACATCATATTTTTTCGGCGATTATTCGGACTTTTGGTGTTCGTATATACGGCACGTATAGCTGCGCCACTTTTTTTACACAAGTGGTCATTATCGCCCCTCGGATTCATCAAAATTACAGAGACGAAGAGTATTTTTATCCAAGTGAGCGCGATCTAGACAGACCGAGCGGGGGCAAACGGGAATCCGCGGAAGCCGGCTCCCGAGATGCTTATCGCCTCGCGAGACACGACTACAAACAGTTAAGCTGTTAACCGTGTACGAGCTAGTGTAGCTCTTTCGGCCTTTTTTTTTTGTTCTAGCGAAAAACCATCGACTGTGGTGTAAGACAACGAAATTCCATAACGCGTGTTTTATCGTTGTCGTCGTCTCGTCACCGCTTAATTACCACTCATTCTGTCGCGTCGCGTCTCCCCCTTTCGAGGAAGTCATCACACACAGGCGAAGATTGTTACAGCAGCCGAGGAGGGTACGCGCTGACGCACATGTAACAATTAGCGCGACCCGCAGCCGCGTACAACGCACCCATATACCTACTCACTGCATATGGGGAAAAATTGACCGAGTGAATAACCCATCCGATCCAATCTACTTGCCCATACAGCTGTGTATATATAGTCGCGCTTCTTCTTGTCTCGTGCAGCATAGAAGAGCATTCACGGTGCACTTCCGCGAGGGACACTTTTACCATATATACACTTGAATGCTGCATTCAGCGGAGAGGGAGAGGAGCTTAGGTACTTTACCGATTTTTTACAGATTCGGCGCCGATACGAGGGAACGTTGTGCATTCAAGTCCCGCGGGGACACAGAGAGAAAGAGGAGATACGCGCGCGCTCCTCCGTATCTCGTGTTCATGTACATATTATATACTTGCAACTTTTTTTTTCTTTCTTCCTTCTTTTGCCGGAAACGATTTATTGTATGGTAATTTTTGCATCGCAGGTATAACGCGCGAGGGTCGTTTGTGACACATTCCTGGAAGAGTTTGATCGTAAAATGGTCGGATTGTATATTCACATCTCTCTCTCCCTCTTTCGCCGTTCTGTGGGTCTCCTCTTCGTACCATACGCGGTGCGGTTGAAATTATATGCCGGAGTCGCACACCAAATTGATTTACAACAGCGCTACGTGCTGTTATGAGCGCTCGACGTAATCCTGTCCGTCCTTATGGATGTGCCGTAAGTCATGACGCAAACTTCTTCACACGTCGGACGGGGCAAAAAAAGAAGAAATCATACGCAATTTATACAGTGTTTTTTTTTTTTACAACTCAACCCTTCACTTACTTGCTTACGCGGAGGTTTGGTGATGTGAGGTAAAAATTTGAGAGAACGGCGCGCAAATCCGATATATCTACCCATTGTGCTCGAAAGAACCAGATAAAAAAAATACGTATTCTCATACGTTTGAATAAAAGAGATGGGGGGAAAAAGGGCGTACTCTTGGCGGGGCGTCAGTCGATTTGTATTCGAAAAAAAAACGTCCATAGAAGCCTCGATATACCGTATAATATACATGCATAATAACACACGACGCGCGTGAATATATGACGATTTGCATGGGGGAGGCTGGGCTTTATATGTATTAAGGAACACAATCGACGCTCCCTCTCCCGCTGAATCACATTAAACGTCCTCCTGGTCGTTTTTGCCCCCCTTTCTCCAGGTTACATGTCCTTTGCGTAAAATCATTGAATTCAATGGGCCCTCCGATCGGCGCTCTCATCTTCCTCCCGACGTGCCATTGAATTTCAAAAAAGTAGTTGTTACGAAAAATGCGGCCGAAACTCATAGACCGAGGCATTATTTTTTCTCGGACCGGTATTTCTTCTTTGACCGATTTTGTACACATATACCTGTACCTCACGTGTACGTATATATTATGGGGTACAGATTAGTGTCACGTAAACGTGAGTCGTTGAATGCCCCATCACGCTTCGACTCTGCAACGTCCACCGGGCCTATACATACAATATATGTATATTGTTCACGTGCACGGACGTGCAGCTGATTAAAGCGCTCGTGCTTCGCTTCTCGCGATATTGCATCCAGCCAACTAATACATTATAATGTCGCGTTGCCCTCGTGAGCCGCGCATCTGTAACAACGTACATTTATCTACAACGCAAGATCGGTCGAGCGAGATAAGTGCACGGTGTACAAATATATACACGAGCTCGCGACTTTTGCGCATCTACGTACGACGTCGCCGCTATAATAATTGTGATCGTGTATATAAGTACCGTTGTCATTAGTGAAATAGGAAGAGAAAAAAAAAAGGATTTTATTTCCCGATAGGGAAGACAAAAAGAGAGCCCTCAGCTCGGTATTCTGGAAACGTATTTCATAACGCGTCAAAAATCCTCAATAGACTCGTTCGCCTAGAGAGAAAGAGGGAGGGAGGGAGAAACAAAAAAAAAAAAAAAAAAACCCTCGAGCTCCTGTTATTGTCGAATATTAGATTTCACTCGAAATGCCCATTCATATCTTTTCTTTTGTTCGCGCTTCAAAAATCTGTCAAACCGATCGCTCGAGTTAAACGCCGCGTCCTCCTCTCTCGAACATCGAATCCAAAAATGCGCAACAATGAGTGCCATTATTCCCCGCACATATTATATATAAGTATATGACATAGTAATAATAATACGTGCGCGCTCCAAAAACGGGCATTCACGGTATACGCGCTGCCGTTCATTCAAAGTAAAAGCACAAGTAGATCCTCATCCGCTTGTCGTCGGCACACTTAACGCGGATGGCCCCACACAAAGCGCCCATACCCTTGCGTCAGTCTTCCGGCATTTCTCGGGCCCTCCTTCGTTCGCTCTCTCTCTCTCTCTCTCTCTCTCTCTTTCTCTCGGTCTTTTTAGCCAAAAATGACGAGGAGCTTACGCTGCAGCTCGTGTTGTATAATGTATGAAAAAAAAAAGAAAAAAATCTGGAAAACACGTGACACCTTGCACTGCGCGCCTGCTGCCGTGTTCGGACACATGCTACAGGTATATATATGTGTGTATATGAGGTTCCGCCATGTGGTGCTCTTCTGGTTTTCCTTCTCCCCTTATTCCGTAAGCAGAATTTGAAAATCGAGAAGGAGGCTTTCTTTTCCACGTGTCTCTCTTTCTTTTTTAAGGTTTCAGGGGGAAAATTCGGGGCTCGGGTTTCCTCCCTTTTTTTTTCTCTCCCTCGCGGCTCCATGGACTCGAGCGACTGTTATATCCGTGTATGGGAAAACGATGGAGCGTGTCGAGATTAGGCCGCGATCTTGGAAGGCTCTCGTTTGTCACTTTTCTTCGAGGGCTTTGCTATGTATAACTTGCACCGATACTTGGTGTGTTTTAGATTGCTCTGTTCTGTGCGTAATTGGAAACCGACGAATGATTTTTTTTTTTTTTTTTAGAGCAGTTTATACAAGAAAACCGGCAGTTGGACCCTGATATAGGGGCTCGTTTAGATTTAGGAAAGAAAAAAAAACCGGGCCAAGGTTAATTTGTATGTTTTCTCTGCTGCAGTTGTCATTGGATTTTTTTAGCTCGAATTTTCCGGGAAGTTGTGGGCTCTCTGACTGATTTCTTTTCTCATTTTTTAGCGTTGCGAATATGTACGTTCATGTGTTTGTTGTTAAAATTTAACATAGTCTGTTTAACCAACCGTCACGATACGAGAAGATATACTCGGGTATTTTTTCCTGGTTTTTTACGACTCCGATTGAAAGGAATGTTACGTATGTAACGATAAAGTTTCTTCGTTTGTTAGATGTATCCGCGATAAAGTTTTATCTAACACAAACGAGAACGGTTTTCCGGGCGTTACTCATCCTTAAATGTCTTGTTGTGGTAGAAGAAAAAAAAAAAAAAAAAAAAAAATGATCTTGAAATTCCAAAAATCATGGTCTCAGAATTTTTCCAGTTTACATTGCTGTATAAACCACAGCCAAAGAAAATACCTTTAGCTAATAAATAAAGTATTGCATTGCATTTTATATACTTATGAAGAGATTTTCATACTTTATTGAAATGGACGTTAAAGCTGTTATGGTACACTGTACCTATATGTCATAGATGAATAATAATTGTGGCGTGTCCTTTTTTATTTGCTACTTAGTGCTACAACAAAAAATATTTCAATATGCATGAAAAAATCGAGAATATAGGCCGAAGAATGAACCAACCATTCGGAAAAAATGAAGCCACCAAGAATTTTTATATCAAAGCAATCTCGGACGTGCCAGTAGAATCAAACGAGCTAACGCATTACCGTGCGAAAATAGCCTTTTGCTCGACTCCCCCGTCACTTTCTTCGTCGAGTCCGTGCAAATGCATACACAGAAAATCGCACATGGCAAAAACGTCAAAAGCGAAGAAG